TTCCCGAGAGTTCCCGCCCAGAGAGTTGATCACCCTTCACTCGGGTGTGCAGAAGGCTCGGGAGAAGGCTCGGGAGTCGGCCTGGAGGCCGTGCGCGCGGCCGTTCCGTCCCTCCCCGCTTCCCCCACGCGTTCGGCACCCTCCGCTGGGGGACTGCTGTGTGCAGAGGGGCCCGCCGTGGTCGGTGTGGACGTCCGTCCCGGGGACGGCCAGCACCTTGGGTCCAGAATGCCTCAAGTGAGAGTGAGATACCGGAGTGGAGGGCTCAGTTGGAAAGAGTGCAGACCGCCAGTTCCCAAGGTAGAGAGGGTCCTGGGGAGGACAGGCCGGCCTTGCCCCTCTCAGGGCCCCTTTTGCATCTTGTGCTGTGTGTTAGAGGGAGGGGCGAGGTTTGAACGTTATCCCGGGGTAATTATGTGGTCACTGGAGTAGCTAATTAGAAAAATGTGAACGTGAAGTTGTCTTTGTCTCTTGAGCTCAGGCAGATTCTGAAGCTGCAGTGAACTGGGCCAGGGGTGGTGTGAATAGGCCCAAAAAGGGAGGCCCCCAGGGCTTCATAAAGCCCTCCGTAGGTCTCCTGTTACAGTAGGTCTCCTGTTCACAGTCGGTGGTTGCCCTGCACCTGACTTCTTCCCACTCCTGCTTTGAGCCTTTTCACCCAGTGTTAATTGCACCTGTGGGATAATTACAGTGGAGGAAGACCACTGAAGGAGGATGAGGTGGTTCAGCTTGATGTCTGCCTGTTGATTTCCTGCAGGTCTGCTTTTGGGATCAGAGTGAGAGAACAGTGTGTTTTTGTGGCCTCTGCTGATGGGTCGTCTAATCCTGGAGGGCAAAGATACCTACACCCCCATTGTACCTATCACTGACTCTTGAATACAGAAGGTACTCCAGGGAGATTTGAGTTGTGTACAAAAGGCAGCTTCTTCAGGGAAGTGCTTGGTCACACACTAGGGTAATATGGCAGGGCAGGGATTTGAATCCAGGCAGTCTGAGTTTCTGCTCTCTGCTCACACACCTGTCTGTGCAGTTGTTCTTGCTGAACTCTTTTAAGTATTTTGGAGTTTCTTTTGGGCAGTGATGTGTTTGGGCCAAGGTGTGAATGAAGACTCAGTTATATCCAAATAGGTATCTAGTTGTACAGGTACCTTTTGTTTAATACCCTTTTCCCTCCTCTCTGATTTTGATACCTCTTTATCACAAATTAAGTTTTTTTATACTAATGTCTTTCCGGACAGTTGATTCCGTTTGATCTTTTTATTCTGACGAGAGGTCTGTTATCTAGTAGGGTGAGTCTTTTTTTCATTATTCTTACTAAAATGGTATTCTTCCTTATATTTATTTAATAAATAGGTATTCTTTAATATTATTTAATAAATAAATTTTAGAATATTTTTGTCATATCTGATATTAAAACCCTAAAAAGATCGGTTAAACTTTATTTATTGGTTAAACTTTATTTAAAATTTCTCTATTATTGAGTCTTCTCATCCTGGTACATGGTATGATTTTTCTGCTCAATCTAGTTTTCTTCATTGTCTTTTAGTATATGGGGTTGGATTTATATTTATGTCATATATTTTAGTTTTCCTTTTTATCAACGTGTAGCTCTGTAAGCAAAGTGCACTCATCTTAGGTTACTGTCTGAACCAGTCCATTTTCATTGATGTAATGGAATGATGTAACGGAGGCAGTCTAAATTCATTTTAAAAAAAAGAGGCTTAGCTGGGCATGGTGGTGCACACTTGTAAGCCCAGCTACTTGGGAGTCTGAGGCAGGAGGATTACAATATCAAAGTCAGTCCCTCCACATTACAAGACCATGTTTAAAAATAAAAAAGGGCTGGGGATATAGCTCAGTGATAAAGTGCCTCTGGGTTCAGTCATGAATACTGCCAAGTACACACACACACACACACACACACACACACACACACACACATTATTGATATCATTGTCTTGGAAGTCTAAACAATATGGCCAAAGCTCTGATGAATGTACCCTGCCTCCTTTGTCTGCATCACTTCATGGCAAATAATGGCAAACATAATGGTGGACACTGTGATCACATCACCAAACCAGAAGCCAGCAACTGGGTAGGGCCAGGCTTAGGTTTTTACAACTCTCTGATGAGAACTAACCAGTGTCCCATGAGAAATACCCAGTCACTTCCAAAGGTACGCTCCCACTGACCTCCCATGAGCCACAGCTTTTCCAGCACAGGAACCTCTGAGGGGACAGTAGCGTATGTGATGAGTCATGTTTATGTAGACAGAGCAGCATGGTGTAGCATCTTCCTGTTGCAGGCCACAGCACCTGCTTAGTGCTAGGATATTAGCACATGAGTCTCTCTGTGATGGAGATGACTAAGGTTCTCCTTCATAGTTCCCTAGGTTTAATTTTAAGATATCCTTACATACTTAGGATAAATTAGAGTAATTGCATACTAGATTTTTAAAATATATATATATTTTTTAGTTGTCAGTGGACATTTTTTTATTTATATGTGTTGCCGAGGATCGAACCCAGTGCCTCATGCATTCCAGACAAGCGAGCTACCTGCTGAGCCACAGCCTCAGCCCCAAGATTTTTTTTTTTGATACAGTAGTTTTTGTTTTGGTGTCGGGTTTCGGTTAGCGACTAAAAGGCTCAGGGGTTACTTCAGTTAAATTGGGCTAACTGGGCTGCACAAAATAACCACACAAGAGACACAAATACCTTTTTCTTTGGGGTCGTTGTGACAGCTCCTCTGACCTTGAGGGACTGCAGGAAGAGAGAGAGCGAGAGCGCGCGAGTGAGCACATGCTGACCCCTTTTATTGAGGAGAAGCTATTCAAATGAGGCAAGGAGTCAGATTTTAGGGGGCTGAGTCTATCTTCATGATGTCCACTGTCAGCAGGTTGACTGACACCTGGGTAGGCCACACCCAAGGGCACAGTAAGAGAAGGGGACACATACAAGGCACTTCCGTGGAAGATTCCATCCTAAACAGAGCAAGGGGTTGTATTACAAAGGAACAGGTGAGTGTAGCTTCACCCATGGGGCTGTAACAAGACACACCCATGCAGGAGACACTGACCCTCGAACCCAAGAAGGGTGGGGAAAGCTCTGCCACATTTCTATGATTGAGCGCCTCAGCACCCAGCCAGGGAGTGTGACTCAGTCATGTGTACGGTTGGTCTCCCACATTTTGGTTTGCTAATATTTTTATTTAGGATCTTACTTCTGTATTCTGAAGTATGTTTGACCATTGGTTCTGTCATCTTTTTAAAGTTTGTTTTAAAAATTAGGTTTGGTGTCAGGAAGGTGCTAGTTTTATAAGGGAAGCTCTCTATAGTCTTTTCTGTGATTTATCTATTGAGAGTTTGAAAGCACCTGTGTAGCTGGAAGAGGCAGAGCTTAGTGCAGATGGTGCGTCTTTTTGGTTGGCCTTTTGGTGTTTCAGTGCTAACAGGGGCCCCTCTCTTCAGTGCAGGTCCTAATCTGAAGGAGTGGCTGAGGGAGCAGTTTTGTGACCATCCACTGGAGCACTGTGAGGACACGAGGCTCCATGATGCAGCCTATGTGGGGGACCTCCAGACCCTCAGGAACCTGTTGCAAGAGGAGAACTATCGGAGGTGAGCATTGCTGCCCAGGCTGCTCCAGGTTCTCAGGCCCCTTTGGCTCTGCGTGGATCTGTGGTTCATGGTTTGCTTTGCAGACTAAGCCCCTGGTGCTTGGAGGAGCACATTCCAGCTTTTGAGGATGGAAGGAAAGGAGATTGCGGATGCATAATCAGAGTTGTTAAGAGATGACTGAATAGTGGCAGGGATCTGAGTTCGAATGAAGCTCCATCACCGTCCTTTATATTTTTGGGCAGCTCCCGGCCTCTCTGGACATCAGTTTTCTCAGTGCTGTTCCTGATGGTGGCACCTCCTTTAGTAGGCCTTGCCCTTCTGAGTGTCCTGTGCATCCACAGCCACCTTCCTCAGTTGTTTTCCTTTGGTGCTCTCTGGCCTACAGTTGTCTGCTGTGGGCCGCTGTCTTCACCCCAAAGATGTGTGGTTCCTCCATGTTGTTCCCTTGCCTGTAACTTCTTGTCTCTTGATTTGCTGTTACTCACCAAAGTCCTGCCTTTTTGTCTCCCTGTGTAGGACACTGGGAGGGCACCCAGCCTGCCTTCTCTCTGGGGTGTTCCTGGTTGTTTTGTATGTCTGGGAATGGAGTTCCAAGTACATTTTAAACTTAACTCAAAACCCCTCTGTATTGTTTCTGGGTTTCAGCATCCACTTTAGAACTAGGTGGCAGTGATTTGATGGAAGTGCCTGTGTGCTGGAACCAACGCTGCTGCTTTCTGTTGATGGTTCCCGAGAAAAACGTTGCTAATAGTCCAGGAAGATGTTCTTTTCTCTTTGTCCTTCCATTATCCTAGCATTATTTCGTTACAGCAGATATCAGTATTAAAAAAAAAAATCTACCCATGTTTTAACTTACTTAATGTGAAGGACTCACTGCCCCCGCTCAGTTAATCTTGCGGATGTGATGGTGGAGTGAAGGAGGTCCCTCCAGGTGTTTCATGTTGCTTTTCTGTGTATTTCCCTCCTTTATTTCTTAGATTCAGCAAAACTCCTGAAATATTTTTCTTTTTCTTTCTTTGGTAATGAGTTCTGGACTTGATTGGCTTATCCAAGTTGGTACTTAGCTGAAGGAGGAGCCTTAAGGGCTAGTTTGGGGACATGCTGCCTACCACATGTGCCTGGTTCAGTGCTCTGGGTTCCTGAGCTTTGTTCTGAATTCTCTTGAGAGCTAAAGGTGAAAAACTGTGTGTCTGTTGCTGACCTGGGGGGGGGGGGTCAGTGGAGGCCTTAGTAGTGACGTCTGATGGTTGCACTTCTGAGAACTAAGTCTGGACAGTTTCCTACTGCTGACAAGGGCTGCATTCCCTGTGCCATCGCAGTGACTCCTCAGTCACTGATTTATTGGTCACCTAGGCCTGGTGATAATAGCAAGGCCCAGTCAGAGCCCCAGCCTCAGCCTTCACAGCACGTGACTGGTGAGAGGAGCTCAGATCCCTGAACTGGCTTCCCACTGAGGGTCCTGTCCATGCTGTGCTGTCTGGTGCCTTTTTTTCTCCTTTGTAGAGGAAAGTGCTTTGGGTCAGGAAATCTAAGAACTAGGACTCTAACTTCTAATGCTGATCATTCCACCTGAGCCCTGAGTTTCCTCATCTTCAGAATGGGATCTCAGTGCCTTCCCTGCCCTTCCCTGCCCAGCTCTGCCCATTGCAGCCCAGTCCAGCCCTCACAGGGTCAAGACTCACAGAAGACAAGTGGAGGCATTGTTAAACCTGAGGGATTTAACAGTGAGTGATTGGTCCCCTTGGGCAGCCTCTGTGTCACATTGCCATTGTGAGAGGGCAGAACAGCCAGTCTTTCCTGGGGGCATCTCTCACAATTCCCTGTGTTCCTCTGCAGCCGCATCAACGAGAAGTCTGTCTGGTGCTGTGGCTGGCTTCCCTGCACGCCACTGCGAATTGCTGCCACCGCAGGTCATGGGAACTGTGTGGACTTCCTTATCCGAAAGGGAGCGGAGGTGGACCTGGTGGATGTAAAGGGGCAGACTGCCCTATATGTGGCTGTGGTGAATGGGCACCTGGAGAGTGCCCAGATCCTTCTTGAAGCTGGTGCTGACCCCAACGGAAGCCGGCACCACCGCAGCACCCCTGTCTACCATGCCTCTCGAGTGGGCAGAGCTGACATACTGAAGGCCCTCATCAGGTCAGTACTGGGGTGCTCAGGCCTGCTGCCGGGCACACGGCCACGTCCTTGCCAGCTCCTGCAGCCACTGTCGCTCTCCTTGCTTTCTGTATTAGTTTTTCCCTCTTTAAAATTAGTCTTGCCACTCATGTATTTGGCTAGTATTTTAATAAGGCTACTTCTTAGCTTTATCAGTTTTCTTATGTTTCTGCTTAATGATTCATTTTTATATACTTTTTAATCTTCATTTTTCCCTTAAGATTTTGCGATGAATGATTTTTCATTTTTTTCTTGATTAATAATGTAAACATTTATTTATTTACCTTTTTTAATAGTCTTCGCCACGTCCTCTAAACTTCCTTTTTTCATTGTTAAATTGCTGAAATTATTATTTTTTAAATAATTGAAGTTGATTTCCTCTTTGATCTAGAGTTATTGAGGAGAAAGTATAATATCACTTTCTAATTTTATTGTAGTGTTCTCAGGTAATGTGGACCATATAGTTCACATTATTTATTAAAGTCAGGCTACATTGTTGTGGATGCTTGGATAAAGCACAACACCATGGGTGTTTTATTCACATAGTACGTTTGGTAGCCTAAATTATTCTGTTTAGAATCCCTCCTTTTTTTTTTAACATTTATTTTATTTGTTTTATTTTTATGATGTGCTGAGGATTGAACCCAGTGCCTCACACATGCTAGGCAAGCGCTCTGCCACTGAGCCCCAGCCCCAGCCCTACATTTTTTTTTTCTTAATTGTAAGATCTGCCAGAAATTTAGAGAATTTTTGGCAGATCTTACAATTCTAATCAACTGTTGTGACTTTTGTCAGTTTCCCCTTATGTTTCAAGTAGGTTTTGCTTTAAATAATTTTGTTTCCTGAACTCATAAAATTATTACTTGTAATTTGTTATCCAAATGAACACTACTCATTTTTATTTAAGTTCATTTACATAGCATTATATAATATTTAGTTTTAATCTTGAATTTAACTAGCTGTGTGTGTTCATATAGAGTTATTTGAATTCTGGAATTCTGTTTTCTGATATAGTTAATATCATTGTCATTGCTGCTGTTAGCATCTATTTTGTTGTCTGCTTTTTAAATTATTTTTTTTATTTGATATCTCGTATGTTTTTTTGCTTTGTTTTGTGACAGGGTCATGCTAAGTTGCTGAGGCTGGCCTTGAACTCACCATCCTCCTGCCTCAGCTTCCCAAGTAATTGGGATCAGAGGCATGTGTCAGTGTCTTTTGTTCTATGATAGTGTTTTCTTTGCTTTCCCATCCACTATGGAAGCAACATCACCGTGTGGGCTTGTTGGTCTGGGTGCTCGTCCTCAGGCCTGTGTTGCCTGAAAGCATCACTTTGGCTTCTGGAGAAAGTTCTTTTGGATGTTTGGAGTGGTGCTGATGAGAAAGGGAATAAAATGTGATTGTTGGTGGATTGCTGGCCAGGCATTTCTGTAAGGGAAATCTGCTCCTCCCTCTCCTGCACGCTGGGCATCCTCGTTGTGTCTTCCTTCATATTGACCTTTCCTGTTTGAGTGAAGTACTCAGGTGAAGACATGGCTTTTGAAACATCCCAGGACTGTCTGGGGCCAGTGAAGGCTCGAGGAAACAGGTGCTGTGCTAGCGGTCTGAGGCTCGTGGTGAGTCCAGAGTTGGGTATCACATCTTGGGCAGGAGGCCTGCAGAAGTGAGGCTGTGTGCCTGTCACCTCCTATCAGATTACACGATTTCAGTTGGTCACATTATTGCTGCTGATCACTTTAATGTGGTGTGTCAGATTTCTTAATAAAAATTCTTCTTCTCTTTGTAATTAGTGTTTTGTAAAGTCACTTGGCCCCCGTACAGATATGTATATGTGTCTCGCCTGGGCCTCGTCTAAGAAGTTTGTTTACTTATTAGTGTAGACTGGTGGTTTCTTAGATTGTCAAGTGAGCTCCTGTGCAGTGTTACTGTTATTTATTTTGATGCTCAAATCGTCTCATGTTTGGCCACTGTTAGCTGTTTCAAGCCAGCTCTGTGTCCTTTGGACATGTCCTGGCCTTTCTTTGGGCAGTTTCTTTTTCAGGTAACGACATATTCAAGTCTCATCTTACAGTTGGCCTCGGTCAGTCTTGCATTCTCTTTCTCTAAGGACTCTTCTGTTGTAGGGCTGTGTTATGCTGCCCCGCTGGCCAGCTGTGCTCCCTGTCCTAGGGCCTTGCAATGGGAGCTGATGCCGGGCATGGTCTGGGCTAACTGAGCGAGCGTTTAGTGTGTCTGAAAAGAACGTCCTTCCTGTTGGGCAGGATGTGACAGCACCGGCTAGATGGTCAGTGGGGCTCATCGGTTTCTTTTTACTTTGAATTTTTAGGGATTGTTTTTTATTTAATTTTGTTTCACTATGCAGAATATTTACAAGGTTCAGATCAAATCTATGAAACAGTTATGTTTTAAAAAGTGTAACTTCTAATCTCGTCTTCTTTGTCCTGTTTTCTCCCTCCCTTCTAGGTAACTGTTTACAAAGTTCTGCGGTTTATCCTTTCATTGTCACCAGTAAGCAGACACACATGTGTGAGTGTGTGCTACACACCGCACACTGTGACCATCCTGCTTTTCTCCCTTACTCGTGCGCTCTGGAGGCCATCCCAGAGCAGTGTGGTTCCTCCTTACTTGTCACAGCAGAGCCCTGCTGCTTTCAGATGAGCCACAGTTCAGCCAGTCCCTGCTGATGGCATGAGGGAGCTTTCCTGTCCTCAGCTACAAAAGGTGGTGCGTCAGTGAATCTCCTCGCTTGTTGTGTATCTTTTCATAGTTTTGCAAATGTGTCTTGGGAATCTAGATCCCAAGAAGTGTAATGGATGGGTCAAGGGATAAATGCATGTGTGATTTTGGTAGCAATTGATAGTTTCCCTTCCATAGAGATTGTTCCATTTTATATTGCTCCAGCAGTGGGTGAGACTTCCTGTTTCCTTAAACTGGTCAGTACATTTTTGGATTTTCTCCCAATCTGACAGGCGAGAAGTGGTATTGTGGATAGTTTTCAATTTGCATTTCTTTTCTGACTGAGGTTGAGCATTTTTTCATGGGACTAAGAGCCATTTATAAATGTCCATATCTTCAGCTTGTTTTTTCATAGCGCTGTTGATTTTTGCCATTTAGAAGATTTTTATGTGTTAAAGGCATTAACCCTTTATAGTATTTTCCCAATTTTTATTTATTTTTTTGTTTTATTTATTTTGTGCTGTTTTTTTTCTATGTAAGAAAGTGTTTTGGTTGTTAATTTTGTGTAACCATAAGGCAGGTTTTACCCAGAGGTTTTTTTCCTGCTTTCTGCATGGTTTCATATTTTTTGTATTTTTAATTCTGATTGATATGAATTTATCCTGGTGCAAGTCCATTTGTCCCCTAACCATAGCCTGCATTTCTGTATGCAGTTTGGTCCATTTCTGGGTTTTCTGTGGGGTTCTGTGGTTCTGTTGGCTTGTCCTCATGCCTTTGTTTTGTAGGCCTTTATAGCAGTCTGGGCTTGAGGTAGGCTGCCTCCCCTGCAGTGGCCTTTCATCTTGTTCTATCTTCCAGCTGCATAATCGGTTTACATGGCTCCAAGGATGCCATGTGTATTTGCTTATATTTGTAACCAGCTTGGTTTAGGAAAGGTATTTTCATATAACAAACAAACACAGGGAAAGTGATGTTACAACGTTGCTTATGTGGCATGTCTCTGTTCTCTTAGGCCTGGTTCTGTCACTTAGTTAGTGTTTTACATTTTCCTCATGCAAACTTTGAACATTTATTAAGTTTATGCTTAGTTTTGTCATTTTGACATTTATTTTGCTAGCACAGAGGACGTCTTCTCTTCCCTTTTTTCTTTCACTTGTTTTTGTGTGTATGCATAAAGGCAGTGTGAGGCCTTTGTGGAGACTGGTTGCAACCGTGAGTGGAGGGATTTTGTGTCTCACTCGCCTGGTTCTTTCCTTGGCCCCAGTGTACTGTTGGACCTTTAGCACCCATGCACAGAGGCGGCCAGCACCTGGGAGTCTGTACACAACTTCTGACTCATGGGTGGAGGAAATATATTTCATCACTCAAAGGAAATCCTAAGTGTTGAGTTTTGCACAGGCACCTCCTTACCTTTGTATCTGTGGAGATAGAGGATTTTCTCCTTAGTTCTGTTAATAGGATGGATTGTGTTGTTAATGGAGTCTCTAATGTTGGAACTAGCCTTACGTTCTTGTGATGACCCCAGGAGGTCATAGTGTATTGCTTTCTTAATTATTTTCTTTGCTAATGTCTTACTGAAAAATTGTAGCTTGGTACTTGTAAATGAAGCTAGTTGGTAGTTTTTCTTTGTATAGGACCTTTGTCATGTTTGGGGATTATTGTGCTAATTTCATAAGATGAATTTGGAAGTTTTCCTTCTTAACTCTGAAGTAGGTTAAGTGGTCTTGGAATTCCTAGATCTGTAAAGGTCAGAAGGACTTCCCATAGGAGTTTTTTTGGTGAGTGGTATCCACATTTTTACTTGCTGCCTTATCTTGCTGGAAGGAATAAGCTTTAGTTGTCCCTTGGCATCTGTGGAGATTGGTTCCAGGATATTATAAGAACTAGAGGACACTCATCTGAGGATGCTGAATCCCTCTTAGAGATTGATACTTGAGCAGAACCTATGCGCATCCTCCTGTAGACTGTCAGTCATCTCTAGATTACTTAAGGTACATAATTTAACAGAAGTGCTATGTGAATAGTTATTTTGCTGTATTATTTAGGGAATAATGAAAAGAAAATGACCATTCATGTTCAGTACAAATTTTTTTCCAAATGTTTTGATCCGCAGGTGGTTGAATGCTCAAATGCAGAGCCTGCTTATGAGGAGGGGTGGCCACATTTGTGATCTCTGGAGCCTCCTTGGCTCTCGTTGTCACTGTGTTAAAGCCTTCCTCCTAGGGTGACTGGGGCAATCTTTGTGGACTGGTTGGTCCACTGTAAGCCTGATTTTCCTCTCCCCTGTAGGTATGGGGCTGACGTCGATGTCAACCATCACCTGACTCCTGACACCCAACCCCCCTTCTCCAGGCGGCTCACCTCCCTGGTGGTCTGCCCCCTGTACATCAGTGCGGCCTACCACAACTTGCAGTGCTTCAGGCTGCTTCTGCAGGCCGGGGCCAACCCCGACTTCAATTGCAATGGTCCTGTCAACACCCAGGAGTTCTACAGAGGCTCCCCTGGGTGTGTTATGGATGCCGTCCTGCGTCATGGCTGTGAGGCAGCATTCGTGAGCCTGCTGGTGGAGTTTGGAGCCGACCTGAACCTGGTGAAGTGGGACTCGTTGGGCCCAGAGTCGAGGGGCAGAAGGAAGGTGGACCCTGAGGCCTTGCAGATCTTTAAGGAGGCCAGAAGTAAGTGGTCTGAGCTTGTTCTGATGAATAGTTTGGTGGGATTGATTGAATGAACAAGAGGTAATAATTAAAAATAAAACAGACCCAATTAAGCACTTGGCCAAGATCCTCAGTTGGGACAAGCAGTTTTCCAGAATGGCTGTTCTGTGATTCTTAAACACCATGAGTGGATAACAGAAAATCTGTGAAAGTGCATGTATGTTTTAAACATGTTTAGAATTATCCTCTCTTTACCCCTTTGCTCTGCTTTGTGGCCCCAAATTGTTAATCATTGATTTCTTTTTCACGTGGCTTTAAAAAGAGCAAACCTGAAGCCCATTTTCTAGGGTTCCTCACATCCCTTTCTTTAGCTGCACTCAATACCATTAGTTTGAATGATAAGTAATTTTTGTTAGAATAAAGTCTGTAGTTTGCTCAATTTTGAAGGAAAGGTTTTGCTAAATGAATAAGTTGATGATAGGGAGTTTGGAATTGATCAGTGAGCCTGCTGGTGCACGTGGCCTCAGGAGCTGACCTTGTTGTCCTCTGACCCCCAGGCTGCGTGCCCCTTCCCCATTCCTGCCTGGATGCCCAGTGTCCAAGTAATGACTTCTTTTCAGCTCTTTACCTTTTGCACAGGTCGTTAACCTTGAAGCCTTTTGTTGTTGAATTCACATAGGTTGGTTCATTGCTGCGTGCTCTTGTTCAGCTATCCCAAAATTAGTTGGCTGGTGAGGCTGGGAACTGTGCTGATTGAATTCAGATACGTGTTCTTGAGTGTCACTTGTTACCCTCTTCACCAACCCAGGCAGGAACTTGGCTATGCCTTTTTGACCCAGAGCAGATGGTCAGCCTGCTCCCCTCATGAATGCATGACTGAGTACTGCTCAGTTCATGGCCCCCAACTCCCTTGGCGCATCTGAGACTCCCAGTAGTGAGGGTCAGTTGCTTGCATCTGCCTAGCCTTCAGTGGGCAGCTCTTATTTTGTCTAGGGTTTTAAATGTAGTAGAGAGAGGAGGTGCTGTTACAGTGAGCAGATGCCCCTGGTTAAGAGGCTCTGGAGATGGAAGGAGCAGATAAGACCCTCCTCCCAGGGCGGGCTCACCTGACTGGAGTAGGAAGCTGGCCTGGGCATTAGTGTGGCTCTGTCAGTCACAGCCAGCCTTTGGCTTCCACAGTGGGGACAGGAATTTATCTTCCCTGATCTCTGTTTCTTCCCACAACTCTCCAGGCATTCCAAGGACCTTGCTGAGTTTGTGCCGGGTGGCCGTGAGAAGAGCTCTTGGCAAACACCGACTTCATCTGATTCCCTCGCTGCCCCTGCCAGACCCCATTAAAAAGTTCCTACTTTATGAGTAGAAGATGCAGGTGATCTGAGGGAGAGCCACCGCTGATGCCTGCATCTTGTGAACCATCCTGTGCTGCCGACCGCTGGTGAAGAGACGGCCTGTTCTCATGGACTGTAATTCCATCTCAGGTGCTGGGGCCACGGAACAAACAGTCCTTGGGTCATTGTCAGCTGAGAGACTCATACAAAACTTAATTTTGTTCTTCCTAAATACTTCTGTTTTGGATTTTTGCAGTTGTATGTTAATGAAATGGGCCATGAAGTGTGTGCAGGTGTGGGTGAGACTGGAGGTCTGCTGATAGCCCCAGTAGGGAAGACTCCTAGCACTTTCCAGAACTGTGCTTTTATTTATTTTTCTACTTTGCAATTTAATTATTCTATTAAAACATTATATCTAAATGAAATGGAGTTTTGGTAAAAAAAAATAATAATAAGTAGGGAACAGAAATGCAGTTCATGAACTTGCTAGTTTGTTTTCTCTGCTTCTGGGGTCCGTGTGTGCATTCGACATACCCCTACTTCCTACCACTCTCATGCTCGTTTTGTGAGTTGCCTTCATTCAAGGATGGTTTCCTGGCTTCGCGGGCTGTCAGTGTTATCTGGTGTGACGGTCACGGTGCATGACTTGTTCTCATATCTCCTGTACCTCGCCTCCTGCCAGTGGTGTCAGGAGTTTTCTGCCTTTTCACTTCAGGAAGCTTCCAGACTGACTGCTTTAAGGAGGCCCACAGAGGACGAACCAGCCAGGATATGGCAGCCTACTTTTAGATGGGGACCATCCTAACAGCCGTCACTGCCAGTTACAATGAGAAACACCTGAGGCGCTGTCTCCATTTCCTGCGTACCAGGAGGTCCTCCTGGTGGTTCCAGGCATTCAGTTGCTCGTGTTCAGGGGACATCACATCTGGTGTTGGTTGACTGCCCTTCACTTTCTGGGCCTAGCGGCTTTGGTAGCTGTGCCTAGAGTCTAAGGCAGGGGAGAGGAGTGAGGCCAGAAGTCTTTCCCACTTGTCCAGAGCTGGCAGTCTTGGAGAGATGACTGTCACTGCAGGTATCTGTGGCTGTGTGGGTGGGGCTTGCTTCAGGGTCTGTGGCCTCAGAGCATTTCCCAGTGAAATGTTATTTAGCCAGTTGAAGCCTCTGAGGACTGTTGTCAGGATTTGTGGTGATTCTAAACTTCCTAAGTGTTTAGAATTTCTGCTTGTGAAAATCTAACTTGTCAAAATTGATGATATGTTAATAATTCTTAGCATCATCATGTGTTTTAGCCAACCAGGCAGGGTACATATGGCCTTTATGTTCTACAGCCTAAGGATAGAATTGTACCTCTTTAGGTGTCGTAGGTGGGCTCCCTGCCAGAGCACTGGGCACCTTGTGTGGACACATGCAGCTCTGAGGGAGAAGCCAGCAGGTGATTCAGAGGGAAAAGCCAGTCCTAGGAGTTTGCCCAGCTGTTGGGATGCGGTGGCCTGGATTCCTGAGCCCTGAGATTTGGCTCCATGCTGCTCCTGTGAGGGGCTTGGGGTCAGGTCCGACTGAGTGAGAGAGACCTTTCCTAAGAGAGGAGAGAAGAAGGGTAGGTGGGGGCCACGATAGCTGGAGCGACGTGCTGCATGGGCTCCAGCCCCGGAGAGAGTCAGGTGTGTTCTGTGAGGCACTCAAGGTAGGACTAGGCCCAGAGTTGGACTGTGGCTTGGGCAGGAGCTTTAGTGAGTTAGGGGAGGTTATGTGGACTTCTGAGCCTCCTGCATATCGACCATCCATCCTGCAGGGGTCTCTTGTCACTGGAGATGGGCTGGCTATGGTTTGTCACCTTGGTAGAGTTGAAAGTGCTTTCTGGAGTGAGCAATTCACTGATGCCACTTGGAGCCCTTTCCTGATTTCCTGGTGAGGTTTCCCGCTTCTGCCCTTTGGCACAGTGGGAGAGAAGCTGCAGGTGAGGCGTACCGAGGCTCTTCACACACTGAGGGGCTGTGTTCTCAGCCTGGAGAGCAGCCCCCAGAGTGCTGTCTATGCAGGAGTGCCTTGCTTCTGGTTACTGAACCGTCTCCCATGGTCTCGAGAAGAATGGAACTAACGGATCATACATTTGGGCCAGGGAGTTAATGTGTCTGGGGAGAGAATGAATGAGCCAGGATAGTGGCCCACTCCTGGTCTTCCCCTGGCATGGGTTGTACTCCAGCTGGTCTGCAGGTGGCCAGGGTTGTAGCCTGTTTTTTTTGGTACTCAGGATTGAACCAGGGGTATGTTAATACCACTGAGCTACATCCCTGGCCCTTTTTATTTTTTATTTTGAGATAGGGTCTAAGTTGCTTAGGGGCCTGCTAAATTGCTGAGGCTGGCCTCTAACTTGCAATCCTTTTGCTTCAGCCTACTAGATTGCTGGGATTACAGGTGTGTGCATCCTGCCTGGCTAGGGTCACTGCTCTTCATTTGCAGAGGACATATTCAGCTTTCCCTTTGCCAATTTTTGTTTTGGAATCCCAACAACTTTGAGGTTCATCCTTTTGTTTGAGCCTTCATAGCTGCCAAACCTGGATCTGAGAATAGTGTTGGTAACCAACAAAGGTCATCTTCCCTGTTTTAGTGAGACTCACTTTACTAAAACTCTTTCTCTTTTGTTTTTAAGGATAGGTTATAGGATAGGAAAGACTAGCTCTCTCCACCTGAGCACCTTATGAAGTCATGCTTCTAAGCCCTGGGACACTGCATCCCCCATCATGAGGAAATATGGAGCTGGTGAGGTGCTGCCCGTCTGGCCCAGTGCAGGAGAGGGGCTAACGCACTGGAGGGATGATCCTGAATGTTGTCCTCAGCCTACCTCGGGCAGCTGTGGGCCACTAAATTGCACCCCAAGTTGTGGCTGCTGTGGGGTGGCAGGTAGTATCGTACCTCTGAGAATTCAGCTTTGGAATCCTGGTTAAGAGTTTTAGATGTATTTCCAAAAACCCATCAATGTCTCATGTTGTTTGACTTTTCATTTTTGCCTGTGTTATTTATATAGCTATTTAAGTCTTGTTCCAGCAAAGGGTTTATGCAGTGGTGCTTGTGTTTTGGGGTTTGTTTTGATGTTTGGTAACAGAGTGTCCCTGTTAAATAGGTCACTAGCAGTTTCTAACAGGACTTGTGTTTCTGTCATCAGGCTTAAGTACCATAAATTTAAGTTTTCCCTCTTTTTCCATGAATTGATTCTTCAAATAAAAAATTTGTGAAAGAGTAATTTACAGCAGTCGTGGGCTTGCCTAGGGGAGGGACCTGCCCAAGAGCTGCTCCGGCCTGGGCTCTGCAGCTGTCCACATGGCAGCGGGCGGGCCCTGTGCATAGTGAGCGCTCACTCCATCAGGTGTGAGGACGGCTGCTGCGCCTCTCCCAGGCTGTATGTGTGAGTCGCTGTTGTCAGGACTACTGTCTTTCCTCATATTGGATGTGCCTTTGAGGCAGTGACAATGCTGGGAGAACCTGTGACTGGGAGGCCCAAGCTTGACCTAGAGCTGCAACAGGGGAAGCTGGAGTTGCGTGGCCCACAGTGTGACCCTGGGCTGCGAGGGCTCTGTGCAGGGGAGCAGGATGAGGACACATTGATTCAACTGACAGGATTGTCTTAGATTCTGAAATCATGTCCTTTCTACTAGCAGGATAAAATGTCCTTTTATAAAATGAAGATGGCAGAGTGCAGTATATTTGCTTTTTAAAATGCATTTGGTCATGGAGCAAAATGTTAGCTGCCCTTCGTGAATCCATCTTTCCTAAGCCTGCCATCTTTGTAGCCCGAAGCTTGGGGCCTTTGGAGCTGCAGCGAGTGTGCATCACCACCAGAGCTCCTGGGTCTGCAGTAGCCTGCCCTCTGGTAAAGGGTGTCGCAGTGTTCCTGCTGCCTTCGGCCCAAGGACGAGACCTGAGATCCCCCATGGGCTTGAGAAGTGCAGATACTCTGTGCTAAGCCTCTGGCTACCGGATCCCTGAGAGACAGAGGAAATGGTGTGGACGTCTAAGGGTGGACTGCCCCCTCCCTCAGGCCCTGGGAGCCTGTAGTACCACTGGATGCTCATGATGATGCCAAGTGTGGCTTGGTGACCTTACAGGCTCTGGCTTCTGCCTCCTTGCCTGCCTGCCCACCCACCCACCAGGCACTCAGCAGCCAGTGCTGACTTCTAGGAGTTTAGATTCCATGCCAGTGCAGATTGCTCTCCTGGAAGTACCTCTTCCTACTGGCCCTCCTTTCTCTCCCTGCTCACTGGGGCCTCACTCCCTCCTCCCATCCATTCTGACTCCCTCTGTGCAGTAAAGTAACCGATATGCATGCATGGACAGAGGGACTCGTGTCCTGCTGCAGAATTCCACAGAGATATGTGTCCATTCCAGACTGTCAGTGGGAGGAGCGAGTGGGGTGGTGGGAGGGACTTCCATTGCCTTACTGTGTGTTGCTCAGGGTCTTTTCTTCCTAAGTTGCTTTATTTCAAGGTCCCTGTGGTATACCAGGTAATGTGCACATGTGCATCAGTCTTGTTTGAATGTGATGTTTGTGATCACAGCTCTCCACACACAGGATGACATTTTGCAGCTGTAGGGTGTCTGCATATCCCCCACTGCCTGTGTTGGGTGTGACAGGCCCTGAGCCTCTGCCTGGGACATGCTGGAGAGATGCTCCCTCCAACCCTGTTGCACTTTCTGCTTTGGTGGTGAACATGAATATTTCTGCAGTGGCTGGAACCACGGCAATTTTTGCTCTTGTGCCTAGTTAAGAGCTTTCAAAAGTATGATGGAGGGCTAGGGGTGTGGCTCAGTGGTACAGTGCTTGCCTGGCATGCATGAGGCCCCCTGGGTTCCATCCCCAGTTCCCTGTCCCCAAAATGGTATGATGGACATTTTTGATGTGTTATTATAACTTTAATAAATGCTTTTCCCCTTCTAATTCCCCGCAAATGCCTTAATTTTCTGGCCCATATCTCATTGGGTGGAAGCAATGGCCATGGGAAAGTGTTGGTATGTGCAGGTCCAGAAGGGGCTCTGAACAGCTTGCCATGCCTGCGGGAGGGCTGTGAAACAGGTGCGCCCAGGGTCCAGGGAGGTATCAGATTTTGTGTGTAGGTTTGAACTGCCCGACACCTGGTGGGACTCGGGGGCTGAGGCTTCTGCTTTAGAGGTGTTCGCAGCCTGCAGCTTTCCAGCCCGTGCGGCCCTGCAGTGTACTGTGGGGTGGGCGAGGGAGACCTGGCGAGAGTGTAGCTGCTGGCCCTGTTGTTCTGAAGAGTGATGAGTCTTGTCCGTGTGTTGGGGGTGAGGGGGTGGAGATTTGGGATGAACCCCAGAGTGAATCAACTGAATAAAAAAAGGTTTGTATGAACCCTCAGTGGCTCCTTTTGTGCTTTCTTCCTTTATGGGGAGGGGAGGGGGGTACCAGGGATTGAACTCAGGGCCACCTGACCACTGAGCCACATCCCCAGCCCTATTTTGTAGTTTATTTAGAGAGAGGGTCTCACTGAGTTGCTTAGTGCTTTGCTATTGCTGAGACTGGTTTTGAACTCACAATCCTCCTGCCTCAGCCTCCCGAGCTGCTGGAATTATAGTTGTGCACCACTGTGGCCGGCTCTTCGTGTGTCTTCTGTTTCTGCCACTTCCTCAAGCTAAGCCTTGCTCACCCTCCCAGTCTTTAGATGGAGAGGAAGGCTTCTGTCACACACGGCCTCAGTCCCTCTCTGCCTCACCAGGTTTGTGGTAGAGGTTGTTACTTTCCATTCACCATTGGTGTTCTCTGTCTGTAACACCAAGACTTTTAGTTTGGGGATGGACACTTGGATTCCCAGAGTTCTGGCAGCATTTCCCAGCCACCTGTGTGGCTAAACATGGCCTTTTTCATAGCTGCTTCTTGAAATCCCATGGAAATAACTCGATTTTTTTTGAAATCATAAATTCACTAGGATGTCTTCAAATGGCAACCAAATTAGGACCTCCTTAAGAAAATAGATGAGTGGCAGCTGACTTAGAAACCCCGAGGAAACGGCGCATGAGAATCCCACATCCCGGGAGCCGGGAGCTGTGGGGGAACTGGCCGTCCCAAGGTGCGGAGGAAGGGTTAATGGGCAGCCTTTGGAGAAGCACCGACCTCCTGCCTCTCCAGCTGGACAGCTGTGCCACCTCTAGCTTGGAGGACACGGATGTGCCCTGCTGGTCTTCAGGCAGGGCGGGAAGCAGAGGTGCCTCCTCTGGGGACTCTCCTCAGCCTCAGAGGAGAGAGTGAAGATACTGCTGCTGTGGCCAACACAGTGGACTCCAGCAAATGCCTGGAGAGAGGACCAAGACGTCAGTGTCCACATTACCAGGTGTAGCAAGGCTGAGAGTCAGAAGGAAGCACTGTGCCGGCACGTCATCGCGGGGTGTCAGAATACTGGGCGACTTCTGGAGAGAATGAACAGTACACAGAACCAGTACCGGGATTCGGAATAGCCGAGGAGTTCCTGAATGCCACGCAGGATAGAGAAATGTGGACCTGACCTCCAGATTTCTGAAGGCAGCAGGTTCCCAGGTAGATGAAGTCATGTTGAGAGACTGGTGGGGTCTTTGAAAGTTTACGTTCCACACACCCTTTCCTAGGAGATTCCTAGAGGATAGGCTCCACCAAACCAAGAGAGTAAACCCAGGAAGGAGAAGTCGTGGCCCCGGGAGAGGTGAGGCCCGGGGTGGGGACAGCTGGTCCCTGGTCTAGAGGACGCCTGCCGCCCCTGTGTGCGCTGAGCAGAGATTTGGGCAGATTTGGGGTGGCAATGCTGACAGGATCCCAGCAAACCAAGGAACATCAGGAAAACAGTGGGGCAAGAAGGAAAGGAAAAGTGAACAGAAGGAAGCCAGGAGCAGCCGTGTGGTCCTGACCCCGAGGGAACGGACAGGCAGGTGGGAGGAGGCAGCTGAGGGCCTGCCGGGCGGAAGGGGACAGCAGGCGGGAGTGGAGCCCCAGATGGACAACAGAGGGCAGCCAGAAGCCCTGGAGTTGCTTCTTTCCAAGGGAAATGGACTTTGGAGAGACGCATCAGGCAGAAGACACAGGCATATACCGCTTGTGAGGGTGAGTGCGGAAATCCAGAAGGGATGGGAGAATTCCTAGGAACATGCAACTCACCAGAACTAACAACGCGGTCTGTGACCAGGGCAGCTGCTGCTCTGTAGGAGGTGCATGTAGTCCTTGAACAGGAAGCTTGGCGTGTCCCCTGTAAGAGGAGCTGAAGCCCTGGCCCCAGGCGGAGCAGTGTGCACTGTGATGCAGAAGGCCACGTGCCCCTGCCAGGAGAGGGCTGCTAGGGTTTGGAGGTGGCCTGTGGCCCCAAGGCCTGGTGAGAGGTGTCTGGGTTGGGGCTGGGCTCTGTCCTCTGTCTCTGGGAGTGAGCAAGAGCAGGCGTCACGAAGCCAGGCTGCCTGGGTTCCGCCTCTCCTGCACGGCTCACTTGCCCTTCGCTTTCCACCATGAGTTGAGGCAGCATGTTGCCCCTCAGATGCAGCTGCCCAGCCTCGGGCTTCCCATCCTCCGGAACCACGAGCCACCTTGACTTTAAACACCCGGGCTCAGGTGTACTGTTAGAGCCACAGAAAACAGTGACAGAGTTCGGCTGCTGTGTCCTGTGAGATGAGTGCACAGCAGTTCTCAGGACTTCCAGACCTGGGTCCTCCACAGCCCCGCCCACTGTCCCAGCAGATTATCTACAGGTTTTTACAGTTTGCAGCCTGCTCCAGGGTGGGGACTGACTGGGTTCCTTTGGGTCAGCGGTTCATATTGGGGGTCAAAAATGGTGCCCAGGAAACTGATTGCTGGGGTGGGAGGGGGCAAGAAATTCCTTGGGATGCTGCCTGTAGGGGATGGTGTTGGACTTCCTGAGGGTGCCGGCTGCATCAGGCTGGCCTCCCCAGGAATGCTGTGCAGCTGCCTGTGGGGGGGCGGGTGGTGGGAAAGGTGAACTCTGGTGAGAAGAGTGCTGCTGGGTGTCCCACATCCTGGCCAGGAGCCAAGGTAGTGGAGGAAGGAGGGCCCAGTGGGACCCGGAGGACAGACTCTTCCCAGGCCCTGCCCAGCGCCCTCTACTGTCAGCTCTTCAGCAGTGCCTGCAGGCCCAGCGACCCTGGAGGTGGAGCTGGGGGCTGGAGAGGCTCCTGCCCTGGGCTCGCTGGAGGCAGTGTGCAGGACTCTAGCTCAAAGGCCCTCAGCCTGGGCATGGAGTTAGGCCCAGGGAATGGGGCAGAGGCTGTCACCACCCACATTGTGGCTCTGCTCAGGTTTTTGGCTCCCAAACGTAGTCTTTTTTTTCCTTTTCTCTTTGGTCAGTTAGTGATCTTGTTTCTAGGCTTACTGCGTCCAATTAGCCATCGCCAAAGAACCCTGTGGACCAAGGTGTCTTGGTTTCCGGCATGAGTCTGCTGCTCTCCCTTGGCACGTGTCTCTCCCTGCCTTTGGTAGCCATCCATCCATGGGCGTCGGCTCCTCCAGAGTCCCCCTCACAGCAGCACCTCCATCACGCGCCTGTGTGCCCGAGGGCAGCCCCATGTGCTTCATTCCTGCTGTTCCAGGGCCTTGGGGGTTGCTGCTGGCCCCTGCAGTGTGTTGGGGTGAGCGTGCATCACTTGTCACACACATGCACCCGGGCATTCCTTTCTCCCTGGGCTTGTACGGTCTCTTCCATGCTGGGGGAACTGATTGAGTCATCTTTTAGTTCAGCTGTCATTGAAGCAATCAAAGGAGCTATGCGAGCTGCCCCAGCTGCCCCCCGAGAGCATTACACCTGGCTCTCCAGGGCGTCACCTGCTCTAGTGTGCTGTCCAGCTGCCTTGTCTAACACCCTGGGAGTCTACTGCCAAGCGTTTCCCATGTGTTTACTGATACGTGTTAGAAAGGCTCCTTCATTTTCTGGGTTTATAAGCTGTTATTGGGCATAGTGTCTCCTCATCCCTCTGGACCCTGTTGTGATTTGGCCCTAATCACAGGTCTAGTGGCAACAAGGCTGGTTGTGGGTATGGAGAATGAGTGTCCCTTTCCAGGCCTCTACCCCTGATGAGGCTCCCCCTGGGTTTTCAAAGGGATCGTAGTCTCCTGTGACAGGGTAATGGTGCAGGTCAGACTGTTCTAGCAGTGGAGGCTCAGAGGGACGAGCGGGAATAAGACTGTCCGTTTCATCTGGGTCCAGCCCAGTCTCCACTCAGCTTCCAGATCCCGTCCCCATCAGGGCCCTGGCTTTCCTGTGAGATGCTGGTGAGACCGTTGTGCAGCCAGTGTGTTAAATTGGTTTTCAGAGACACTGGCCCTGTGACAGGAACAGCTGCTTTAGTGCTATTGCTGTGCTTCTCGCCCCGGCCCTGACATGTGCTGAGAGTTTGTTCGCAGACCTGCAGCAAGGAGAGGTACTCAGAAGATCCCTACACACTGGAGTCCCGGTGTCCTCATTCCAGCTGTCACAAGGCCTGTCCAGCACCTGATGCAGCCCCAAGGCACTTGCCCTGGTTGGCGCTGCACAGCCCACTGAAGGAGATGGCTCCATTAATTCTGACGTTGCCCGAGTGCTTAGTTCTGAATAGCAGCATCCCCTTTCCCCTCGCAGTAAGAGAGCACAAGGGATCGGTTCCCAATGTCTTCTCTGGCTGCTCCGAGTACCAGTTCTGTGCCAGTCAGGGCCAGTCCAGAGGGCAGCAGCCACACAATCACATGAACAAGGCAGATGTGATGTGCAGTGTGTTAATTTTCCAGGGTTTATCTTATGTGTAGAGGGAGTTCTAAATACCCCGAAGGACAGTACCCAGGACTGGGCACCAGAGGTGTCCGTGCTTGCTGGTCAGTACCTGTGGGCAAGGACTGGCCAGCTAGTGGTGGAGGCAGGCTCTTCCCCCAAACCTGGCACACAGGTGCCACTGACTGTGCTGGGGAAGGTGAGCCCCGCTGGTGTGCAGCACTCCAGCTGAATTAGAAGGAAATGGGAATGAGGGGGTCACTGCAGGCCAGAGCCAGGAAGAGGAGCTGCCCTTCTCCAGCATCCCTCTGGCGCCCTCTGCTGGCTGAGTCTAATGTGCGGCTGGTGGGGAGGCAGTGCTCCCGACCACAGCCCAGCTACCAAGGTGGAGTGAGAGCCTCAGAGGGCAGCGTACTGGCAGCTGGCGAAGCCCAAGAAGGACAAGGGGAGGAAAGGAACAGCACTGGCCAATAACATCTGCATAAACGCAAAATCCCAAAGAAGACGCAGCACACGGCGTACACTGCAGTAGGCCCCTTGGGCTGTGCATCAGTGTCAGCTGACTCCCACCAAAATTTGTGCTCCCCTTGCAGTGTGGCCTGGTCTCTGGGAAGCACTGTGTTGTTGCCAAGCCATGGGATGCTCCTTC